CCAGTGCAGCTCGCGCAGCAGCGGTGTTACGTGGGAGCGACGAGTCCCTCCCAACACCGCCCGCGCGGCCGCATTCTGGACCAGTTGAAGTCTCCGGATGCTCCCCACAGGGAGCCCCATGTATAGAGCATTACAGTAGTCCAGGCGGGAGGTGACGAGAGCCTGAGTGACTGTGCGCAGAGCGTCCCGGTCCAGAAAATATAGTGAATATGGTCAGGGTGGTGGAATGCAGGACAGTGGGGCTGTATGGCAGAGTACAGGGCAGCCAAAAGGGCAGAAATGGAGCAGATGGGGGCAGCTGAAATCACCTTGCAGGCTGCCAAGCACTCAAAATTTGATCACGTAACCTCAGGGGCCCTGCAGTGCTTATAACTATGAGGACTGGGCATAAGTGCAATTCACTCAGTATTATCAGAGCTTTGAATGTTGTTGTCATGGTTCTGACAGATGCAATTCTTCAAAGAACCTCGAGGCATTGTTTACCTTAAGGAGTCTTTAATCAAAATAACATAGCTTCGGCACCTACATGGTCAAGCTGAAATCTGGATTCCCCTCCCCTAAGCACACAGTATCAAAAGCACAGTTTCTTCCTCTAATTAACCGTCATAAATCACATTCTCCAATTAGTTTGAATTGTAAGCTTTCCCTCCTGTTTAACAACCCGCCAAATTCTTATCTTCTCTTTTTTCAAAACAGCCTTGAGAGACATTCTTCCTCCTTCCCCCCAGCATCAACTAATTCTAACTCTAAAAGTAACACACAAGTTAAAGAAGCAAAGCTACATCTCCCTATGTTATCAAGCCAGAACTTCCGATGTTAGCAGCATTGACAGTTGTTGTGGACTACATGTACTACTTCCAAGCTATGATTGAACCAAAGTGTAATTTTACGCTGATGATCTATAAAATAATTTGCATATATTTAAAAGGATGACTTGGCTTCATATGACTGATATTTTGAAATTAATTACTGTAATTCATATGAACTGGTCAGCAGTTTGTGTAGCTCTTATTGAACTTTTACTACCACATCAAATATATAGATTTTTTTTTTTAAAGAAAAAAGTTGTGACCTTAAAAGCAGTTGAAAGTGAAAGTCTTCAACATTATGTGTGGCATGCTTCAAATTAGCAATTTCCTGGCAATGAAGGACTCTCAAATTTTGCAGTAGTCCTACTATTCAAAGTGGTCAATAGGCACTTGTGATCTGGAAATGAGAAAACTTCCTGAAAAACAAGATTTTCTAGATCTGGTGTTATTTTGGGAGTTCCCAGATTTTGATTCTTGGCTCATATCTAATTGTTGTATATGAATCAGGTTCAATACTAGGTAAAGAAATGGGGGCTGCCATTTGAAGATAATAAATCCAATGTAAGAAAATATTCAATTATAATTCTGTTATTCTATGTTGCAATCATTGTACCTATCCTGGAGTTAGTGTTTGTAATGCTTTATATAGGACTACTTTGCTAAAGTTCCTGGAAGATAGGCATTTCTCAGGTATCTTCCTATTTCTTAGGAATTTTCTCAGATGGGCAATTTGTTTCCGGGAAAGACTAAGTTGCAATGGCATTCCAGGGGTGGGTGGAATTGGACTTTGCTCTCTTGTAATGATTCCAGACTGATCCCACACTTGATCCCTCCTCCCAAGAGGGCAGACTGTCTCTGACAGATTTTTTTTTTAAAAAAAGAACTATTTAGATCACTCCATAGGTTTTTTTTTTAAAGGACAGAATCCAGCAAAAAAAAAAAAAAAATCTCAACCAAATCTATGCCAGTCATATTCATATTTGATCCATTATGTTGTTGTTGTTAATTGTGAAGTCGTGTCCGACCCATCACGACCCCATAGACAACGTTCCTCCAGGTCTTCCTGTCCTCTACCATCTTCTGGAGTCCATTTAAGTTCACGCCTACTGCTTCAGTGACTCCATCCAGCCACCTCATTCTCTGTCGTCCCCTTCTTCTATTGCCCTCAATCTTTCCCAGCATTAGGCTCTTCTCCAGTGAGTCCTTCCTTCTCATTAGGTGGCCAAAGTATTTGAGGTTCAACTTCAGGATCTGGCCTTCTAAAGAGCAGTTGGGGTTGATCTCTTCTAAGACTGACCGGTTTGAACACCTTGCAGGCCAAGGGACTCGCAGGAGTCTTCTCCAGCACCATAGTTCAAAGGCCTCAATTCTATGTCACTCAGCCTTTCTTATGGTCCAACTTTCACATCCATACATTGCAACTGGGAAAACCATGGCCTTGACTATACACACTTTTGTTGGCAGGGTGATGTCTCTGCTTTTTAGTATGCTGTCTAGATTTGCCATAGCTTTCCTCCCCAGGAGCAAGTGTCTTTTAATTTCTTGGCTGCAGTCCCCATCTGAGGTGATCTTGGAGCCCAGGAAAATAAAATCTGTCACTACCTCAATTTCTTCCCCATCTATTTGCCAGGAATTGAGAGGGCCGGATGCCATGTTTTGGTTTTCTTAATGTTGAATTTCAAGCCAACTTTTGCACTCTCCTTCTTCACCCGCATCAAGAGGCTCTTTAGTTTCTCTTCACTTTCTGCCATTAGAGTGGTATCATCTGCATATCTTAGGTTGTTGATATTTCTCCCGGCAACCTTAATTCCAACTTTTGATTCATCTAGCCCTACCTTTCTCATGATGTGCTCTGCATATAAGTTAAATAGGCAGAGCGACCGTATACAGCCTTGCCGGACTCCTTTCCCAATTTTGAACCAATCAGTGGTTCCGTGTCCAGTTCTCACTGTTGCTTCTTGACCCGCATATAGGTTTCTCAAGAGACAAATAAAGACGGTCTGGTACTCCCATCTCTTTAAGAACTTGCCACAATTTGTTGTGATCCACACAATCAAAGGCTTTAGCATAATCAATGAAGCAGAAGTAGATGTTTTTCTGGAACTCCCTAGCTTTCTCCATGATCCAGCATATGTTAGCAATTTAATCTCTAGTTCCTCTGCCTCTTCGAAATCCTGCCTGTTCTTCTGGTAGTTCTCGATTCACATACTGCTGGAGTCTAGCTTGTAGGATTTTAAGCATAACTTTACTAGCATGTGAAATGAGTGCAATGGTGTGATAGTTTGAACATTCTTTGGCATTGCCTTTCTTTGGAATTGGAATGTAAACTGACCTTTTCGTTAGGACACCGGTGACAACTCAAAAGGTTTAAACGACCGTTTAACTCACATCGTGAAAATGAGCATCGTCTTTTAAGATTTTGAATAGCTCAGCTGGAATACTGTCACCTCCACTAGCTTTGTTGTTGCTCAGCTTTCCTAAGGCCCATTTCACTTCACATTCTAGGATGTCTGGCTCAAGGTCAGTGACCACCCCATTGTGGTTATCTGGGACGTTAAGCTCGTTCTTGTATAGTTCTTCTGTGTAGTTTTGCCACTTCTTCTCAATCTCTTCTGCCTCTGTTAGGTCCCTGCCATTATGGTCCTTTATCATGCCCATCTTTGCATGAAACGTTCCCTTCATATCTCCAATTTTCTTGAAGAGATCTCTGGTCCTCCCTATTCTGTTGTTTTCTTCTATTTCTTTGCACTGTTCATTTAAGAAGGTATTCTTATTTTTTCTAGCTATTCTCTGGAATTCTGCATTCAATTGAGTGTATCTTTCTCTTTCTCCTTTGCCTTTCGCTTCCCTTCTTTCCTCAGCTATTTGGAAAGCTTCCTCAGACAGCCATTTTGCTTTCTTGCATTTCTTTTTCTTTGGGATGGTTTTAGTTGCTACTTCTTGTACAATGTTGCGAACCTAGTTCTTCAGGCACTCTGTCTATCAGATCTAATTCCTTAAATCTATTTGTCACCTCTACTGTATATTCATCAGGAATATGATTTAGTTCATACCTGAGTGGCCTAGTGCTTTTCCCTACTTTCTTCAATTTAAGCCTAAATTTTGCAATGAGAAGCTCATGATCTGAGCCACAGTCAACTCCTTGTCTTGTTTTTACTGACTGTATAGAGCTTCTCCATCTTTGGCTGCAGAGCACATAGTCAATCTGATTTCTGTGTTGACCAACTGGTGATGTCCATGTGTACAGCCGTCTCTTGGGTTGTTGGAAAAGAGTGTTATGACCATCGTATTCTCTTGACAAAATTCTATCAGCCTGTGCCCTGCTTCATTTTGTACTCCAAGGCCAAACTTGCCTGTTATTCCCGTTATCTTTTGGCTACCTACTTTAGCATTCCAATCCCCCATGATGATAAGGAC